TTGGGGCAGACGGTAACGTGTTCCTGGAGGGAAGTGACTCCGAGGGAGAGGAAGATGACAAGAAAGTTTTATCACTTTCCGTAAGCAGAAATACATACATACATTACATACACCATCACCATACGTGTAATGAGATTAAATATTGAATATACATACATATTAATGTACACTGTAGATTAATATTTTTAATTTATTTATGTAGGGAACTTCTGATGGTTTTCGATCAAGACCTATAAAAGAGCAATGGGTAAGGAAAATATATAAATATAGCCATGTTACTATAAATACCGTAATTGTGATTGTTGTTACTATAAATAACTTTGTGTACCTATAAATAACTTATGAATAGGTGATCAGTTTAAAGCAGAGATCTGGTGTACTAAAGATGGGTGGGTTCATTCACAAAGGATACAATGAACTGAAGGAGTTCATGAAGACGATAGAATACAATAACTTCATGGCTGAACTAACTTGCAATGAAACAAAGAACAGACCAGCTGGACCTTTGGCTCCAAGCCACACGAGAGTGAAACTGCAAAGAGTAATGGAGGACCTTGGGTCTGATTACATCAACGCAAAGTAAAACAATAGAATATAATGATTAATATCTACACTACATGTACATGTACATTTTGTATAATGATGTCATTATTCTCTTCTCTTCTGCTCTCCCTCAGTTTTGTTGGCTCACCATTGTATCCAAAGTCATACATCATAGCTCAATGGCCAATGGAAAACACAATACCAACATTTTGGAGGTAAACAACAAACAAACAAACAAACACACATTCATGCAGTACATGTAATAATCATTAATTGTATGTTTATCCCTCACAGTATGTTTGACACACAATCTTACATGTACATGTACTCATTATTATATATTCATCACAGGATGATTTGGGAGACCAATGCGTCAGTGATTGTGGTATTAGGAGACACTGATGATAAGAATAACTTCTGGCCAGAGAAGGAAGACTATCAGCTGCACCCAGCAGTGATACTGGGAGAGTGGTATACTGACTCTCTCTATGTTAGGACTGATAAGGTTCATCCTAACACCTCCGGAGTAGAGGGACTGTTTGAGGTATCCATGGTGATACACAGTTATGATGATGATGTCACTGAGCACCTGAGCCTGTTTCATTACTCAACCTGGCCACAGAATGGTGAGAGAGAGAGAGAGAGAGAGAGAGAGAGAGAGAGAGAGAGAGAGAGAGAGAGAGAAGTAAAATAATTAGTGCAAATTGCTTTGTTCATGTCTTCAGGTGTTCCACAAAGTCCAGTTCACGTTGGTCACTTGTTTCATCACAGTCTAGCAGCAAGGACAAGAGGGGTAAGTCCCCTTGTAACCATAGCAATGATATCAT